GGGGGATCCTGGGGAAAGAAAAGGTCTCTGGGGAACAGGAACCCCAATCCCTCTGCGCAGGAGGGCAGGCACGACAGGGGCCCCTAGAGAGCCACCCCCCCCAGGCCTGGAGCCCAGCAGGCACCACCAAGCCCCCGGCTGCTCCCTGTCCCGCATCTGCCTGCGGGGCATCGGCGAGGAGCAGCCGCTTAGAGGCCTCCGCTCTGCTCCATGGCCCCCTGGATGAGAAACCTCCTTGATTTTTCTCTTTGAACAAAATTAGAGGTGACAGCAGAGTCAGAGGACACTGGTGGCCACGGATGCCTTCACAAGGAGGGACATCAACCAGCACACCCAAGGACCTGAGGAAGAGCCCCGTGGCAGCCCCTCGATCACATTTCAGAGCCAAGGCCACCCATCAGCGCTTGCACTCCTATAACCATTCAATTAGGGCTGTGATTTTTATCGCCATAATTACATCGATGAGCAGGTTTTATAAGTGTCATTTTCTGCAGCAATCCCTGCTGACATTCCCCTTTCAGGACTTGTATTTTCCTGGGAAGTGGCAGGAGGGAAAAAAAAAAAAAGAAAAAGAAGTTGTATGTGTTTTCTCTTTCTCCCAGTCTTCCAGGGGAAGTCCCCCAAAACATCATCTCTGTCAAGAAGAGCCGGGGCTGGGATAAAGTACTGCTGTATCTGCCTCGGGGGTCAGGGAAGGTGGTACCGCAAGCGCCTGGCAGTTCGGTTGCAAGAGGCTGAAGGTCAGCGTGCTTCCTGCACCGGGACACAGACACGGGCTCTGCGCATTGAAGTCAAGGCCAGGCACCGCATGCGACCGCCCGGACAGGGGCTGGCGGGGCTGGGGGTGTCCTGCGAGCTTTCCTGCCAAAGGCAGCACAGCATGCCTGCCCGCTCCTGCCACCTCCACGGGCACGAGCTGCCGGCAGCGAGCCCAGCTCCCTGGGGCGCTCATCCCAGCTTATCAGCCTCCCCACATGGGATGCTACGGGAGAGGGGCTGCAACGGGATTGTGAAGTGGAGCCAAGTGTACGGCCGGCAAAGCTGAGCCCTGGCTGGCACAACCTTCAACCCAGGGCACTGCGATCAGAATCCCCCTGGGGCAGGGATGGCACATGTCCTGGCTGGCCGCTCCTGCCTGGCAGCACCAACCCGGAGCCTAACAAAGCCCAAAGCTTGGGAAACGGGGTCCAAAACCTCATGGCTACCGTTTGAGCTGGATACCCTGCAAGGCTTCTGCATGCCCTTAAGGGTGTGGGCTTACCTCATCCACCACAAGGTTGTAGTCGCTCTTGTCCCCATCACTATCCTGCAAGGGGGAAGAAACCCAGAAAGGCTCAGTCAGGAGTGGGAGAGGCTGGACCAAGCTCTGGGCTCTGCCCCACAGCACTCCAGCCAGCAGAGAGACCCCATCTTCTCTTGTGCATCACTTCTCATGGACCAACACCATGCTCTGCAGGCAACGACTCAACCCTCTGGCTGAGGGGCTCCCCCGGGCTCCTCGTTCTGTTTGTTTCTTTTGCAGGGCAGGCACAGAGCTCCCCGGACACCTCCAGCGCCCGGGTCCACCCCCAGCTGCCACGCTCTTTGGTGCACTCACGTAATGCCCAGGCAGGTCCTTCTCCTCCCGCTTCCGCTTCAGCCCCGTGCCTCCTGTCCGCTCCTCATCCTGCAGGCTCTCGGGAGGGGAAGCGGACGCGCTCTGAGCCAGAGAGAGGTAGAGGAAGGCGCGTGAGCCGCCGGGAGAGCGGACGGCCTCCCGAGTCCTGCCAGCTGCGTTTCCACTCTGGAAGAGACCTCCAGCACCGCTGGCTGCACCCCGCCGGGGTCCATTTTTCCCGCGGCCGCCCCCCAGCCGGTGTCCAGCACCCATCCAGCTATCTGTGCAACCTGTGCCACAGCCGGTTTGGGGGTAGGGGTCCCCTTCCCCAACCAAGCGGGTGTCAGGGCTAAAGGGGAGGCACTGCTCTCCCCCTCTGCGCAGATACCTGTGGCATCCCCTTACTGGCATCCTGCGCACCCTTGGCCAAGAGTCCTCTAAGATCCAGCTGTACCTGGGGGCAGAGATGGGGATTTAGTCTGGCACTTTAAGTAAGACCTGTTTCCAGGTCTCTGAGTCCTAGCCCAAATTAATCCATTTAGTTCTGACAGGGCAGAGAGAAGGGAAGCGGGATGGGGACCCCGTCCCTGGGGGTTGGCTGCCTGCAGACTCCTGGCACGGGCAGAAGGCAGATGCATCTTCAGGGCGCTCAGAGACTCACCCACACGCAGCCCCAGCGTGCCACCATCTCCCTTGCCCAGCTGGGCCCTAGAACAACTCCAGAGCGAGCTGCCCTCGCCCCTTCCCCTGCCCACCCCTCAACTCTCAGACCTGGCCAGCCCCAC